AACAATCCAACCTCTCCGAAATCTGAAAACAATCCCACCTTTAATCCGCATCTGCTCAAAATAGTCCTTTTTACAAGTTAAATTTTATTTTTGTTTATAATTTTTTCGTTTAATCTCTCTCCTCCTAGCTCACCTTCCTCATCCATAGCAATCCACCATAACCACCACCACATTACCACGATCTAACCCCCACCCCCACCACCCACGAGCTCACCACTTACCCCGCCTTCTATCCCTCTCCTTTTCTTGCCACCGCACTTCTCCTCTCAACACCGCCAACCACCTCCTCAACACCACCACAACAGCCGCTAAAAGCACCCGCTTACTCTCTCTGTCTCTCTCCACCGTCACCACGCCTAGAAACGAACCTCACCTGATTCTGACCTTACCCGAAAGCCCAAACCCGAGTTAAAAAGGGTTCAAACCTCCTTCACCCAATTCAGACCGGGCAATGTTATAAATTTCGTCGGCGGTGTCGAAGAAAGGCGAATTCAAGACAGAGGGAGGAGATGGGGTGGGGGGAAAGGTTGAGGATGTGGGGGCAGCTACCGCCAAGCGGTGTTCGTCAAGGGGCTGAAATTTGAAGGAGTAGTCGTTGAATGGAGTTTTGAACACCAGGATGGGGGCTGGTTCAGGTGGGATCGGGAAGAGGAAGGGGAAAGGGGATGGTTTTTTTTGTAAAAAAAAAAATTATTATTTTCTCTTATTAATTTTGTATTTTTTTTAAATAAGACTAATCAGAAGGTGACACGTGGGCCACATGGCTAGTCACCTTCTAAAATAGGTTACTAATTTTCACAAACCGATTAAAGGACTGTTTTGAACAGATGGGGGTCAAAGGTGGGATTGTTTCTAGATTTCGAAAAAGTGGGGTTGTTTTGAGCAGAAAAGGTAAAGGTGGGGTTATTACAATAAGGAAAAATGGAAACTAATAATCCCACCTTTGCAACTTTAGCTCAAAACAATCTTACCTTTTCGAAATCTGGAAACAATCCCACCTTCGACCCCATCTGCTCAAAATGATCCTTTTTACCCATAACCTGTTTAGCCAGTTAATATTTTTTTTTTAAAATTTTATTTCTTAAGCTCTCCTCTCTAACCTCTTCAATGGCAGTTCCACCATTATCACCACCCCTTCCATAACCACCACCTCATCAACACCACCACACCACCACCTGACCCAACCTTGCTAAAAGAACCCCCCACCCAACCTCGCCTAGTCCAGCAGCCCTCCCACACAACCCCGAAACACCAGAATTCCACCTGACCTTAGCGACCCCGTGACCCACCTGACCTCCCGCTACAAGAAAAAGGTCCATTTCCGACGGATGTGTTCCGACAGACACGAAAAATCCGTCGGAAAAAACAAAATTTTCGATAGATTTAAATTTCGTCGGAAATTTCCGACGGACTTTCGATGAAAAATCTAAATTCGTCGGAAATTTCCGACAGAATTTAAATCCATCGGAAAATACTTAATTTCCGACGGATTTTCCGTCGAAAAATAATTAATTTCCGACGGAATTTTAGTGACTTTCGATGGATTTCCCACTTTGTAAAAAAAAAAATAAAAACAATAAACCCCCCACCTGCTCTATCATTTCTCTTTTCCGCCTTATTTTTCTGTCATTTATCTTTCTCTTTCCTCTTCTCCTTTTCCCTTCTCCTTTTCTCGTTCTTTCCCCTTCTCCGGAGGATCCTTTTCTCTAGTCCTCTCATTCTCCTTCCCTCTCTTCTTCGGTCTCCTCCTTCTCTCTTCTTCTTCGATCTCCTCCTCTCCTCTTCTTTCCCCTCTTTCTGACTACCTCAAATGGCGACACCACCGCAACAACAACGACACCACCATCGCAAAGCAACAACAACTAACAATTTTTTGTGGTGGTTCTACGGTGGCGCAGCAGCAACAACAACAACATTAAACGCGGCGGCCCGTCACCCACTTTGAAGATTTTTTGTAGATCTAGGTTAAATTGTAGATCTAGGTTAAATTGTAGATCTAGTTTTATTTTTTTAAAAAACAATTCTAATTATAATTAATTTTTGATATAATTGTAATGTTATTTTATTAATTTCAGAAGATAATTGTATATTTATTTGTTTTGTTTGAATTCAATTTTTTTTTTTATTTTTTTCCGAATCTTTGTGAATGTTTATGGTGGTGGTGGGTGGCTAATTTTGTATTCTGATTTTATTTTGGGTGGCTGTTTTTTATTTTGGGGGTTCGGGTTGTGAGGTGGGTGGTGGTGGTTGGTAGATTTGGGCGGCGAGGTGGAGATAAGAGATTATTTGGGTGGTGGGTTGAGGATAGGGGTTAGGTTAGGGTGGTGGGGAAGGATACAGGTTAGGGTGGTGGGAGGGTTTTTCGGGCAGGTGGTTTGGTTGGAAAACGTTGGTGGTGGTGGTTGGTGGATCTGGGTTAATTTTCGGTTAGGGTTTGGTGGTGGTCGTTGGTGAATCTGGGTTAGGGTTCGGTGGTGGTGGCTGATTTGGGTGGGTCTGGGTTAGGGTTTGGTGGTGGTGGTGGATCTGGGTTAGTTTGGGGAGTGGTCTGATGGTGGCCTGGGCTTAGGGTTAGTTAAGGGCTGGTGGTGTTCTGAGGTGGTGATACGCCGTGCCGGTGGTGGTGCGGCGTGTTTTTTTTATTTTATTTTATTATATCAGTTCCGATGGAATTTCCGTCGTAAATTTTCGGCGGATTTGTGTCCGTCAGAAATTTCCGACGGACTTTTCCGGGGCTGGAAAATCTCTTTCGACGAAACAATTCCGTCGAAAAAGGTCGTTGTTTTTCCTACAAAATCTTTTCCGACAACCGGTTTCAACGGAAATTCCGTCAGAAACGGGTATTTTCGACGGAATTTTTCCATCGGAAATGGCCTGTTATCTAGTAGTGTCCACCGAATCAGAAAATTCGGCCACCTGACCCATGCGATATATCTTGAACACCAATTGGGTCTTTCATTAAACCACCTTGCAATTGTTGAAATTTTTCTTCTTCTTTTTCTTGCTATTATTATTATTGCAATTGTTATTGTTGTTGTTGTTGTCACTCTTCTTCTGGGTTTACGACATTTGACATGGTCTACAATTGTGGAGTTTGAGTGGTCTGATGAAATTGCGTGCAAATTGCAATTGGTGGAGTTTGAGTGGTCTATAATTGTGGGTCAGGTGGGATGGGGTATGGTTGAGACTTGGGTGTACTCTGTGTTAGGCTCTGGTAAGGGGAGGGTGTAGTGGTTGGGTCCGGCGGGCGGCTGGTCTGGCAAAAGGAGGGGCTCTGGTAGGGAGGAAGGGGAAAGAGGGATTAATTTTTTTTTTTCCTTTTTTGTTTTTTAAATTAATAAAAAAAAATCAATCAGAAAGTGACACGTGGTAAGTTACCTTCTAAAACAGGTCACCAATTTCACAAACCGGTAAAAGGCTTGTTTTGAGAATATGAGGGTTAAAGGAGGGATTGTTTCCAGATTTTGAAAAGGTGAGATTGTTTTGAGCAGAAATGACAAATGTGTGATTATTAGTTTTCATTTTTCCTTACAATAATAAGACGTTCATTGCATCATTACATCAATTTGTTCACGCTCTATATTTGATGTGTATATTTTGTCAATTTTTTAGTACAACTAAATTTATATTGAATCACTTTTAAATAGACTGTGCATGACACGGGTTCTAAACTAGTTAGATTAAATAAATACCACCATTCAACATTCATATTTAATTGAGGACAAATCTCTATCATGTAAGGGAAGATATGAGAGAGTGGTGTCTGCATACATAATGAAATGTTTATGATACCCTTATACTTTTTTACATTTCGATTGTTAAAGAAAAACAAAACTAAAAATATAATAAGTGATAAACAAGGCAATGAAGACATAATTGTTCATTTTTCTAATGTTAAATATTTTTTTAGTACACTACTAGAAAACAAGCAAATTCTGACGGGCTGGTTCCGACGCACCCGAAATTCCGTTAGAAAAAGCGAAATTTCCGACGGATTTATGTTCGTAGGATATTTTCAACGAATCTAACAATTTCATCGGAAATCCGTCGGAAATTTTGGACGGAAATATAATCCGTCGAAATATATGTGCTTTTCGACGGATTTTTCCGTCATAATTTACAATTTCCGACGGAATATAATAAAAAAAATTAAAGTGTTTTTACAAAACCCTAAAAGGCTAAAACGCAGCCCCTTCCCCTTTCTCTCCTATTTCCGCCACTCTTTTTCTCTCCTCTTCTCCTCTTCCTCATCTCTGCTCTTTCTCCTTCTATCTCTGCTCTTCTCCTTCTTCTTTTCTCTCCCCTTCTCCTTTTCTCCATCTCTGCTCTTTCTCCTTTTCTCTCTCTCTTCTCTTCTCCTTCGTTCTCCCCATATCCTTCTCTTCTCCTTCTCTTTTCTTTCTCGCCGGCATGGGGTTGCAGTGTTCACGATGCCCATTTGTTCTTCTTTCTCGCCGGTGTCGAGCTGCGGTGTTCTCTAGAAATTAATGGTTATTAAGGTCAAATTTAACCATGAAAACTTTACATCTAACATTATTCTAAATTATTTTTTTTCTATTTACGAATTTTAAGTAATCAAATTGATGATTTTAATCTAATATTATTCTAAATTGTTTTTTCTATTTACTAATTTTGGCATTAAAGAAGAGAGAGAAGTGCTCGTTTATATGAAAATATCATTAAGTTTTTACTTAAATTGTATACTAATTTGGCATTAACAAGTTATGCCTATCTTCACCCCGTTTATTTATTTCTTTGTCTAATTTAATTTACGATAGTTATTTATCTTGTGTGATAAACCGTAATAATTATTTGAATTAATCTGTGGTTGCTTCATTGCTTGTATAGTTGTATCGTTGCCAAAATAAATGTCGTGTCGGCAATGTCCCTACACCAACAATTGTATCTCAGCCAAATAATATCTAGAGTGGAGCAACCACAGTCCACACAGTGAATTTAATCTTGTCCAATTCACTCTATAAATAGAACCCACTCCAATATAAAATTTTCCAATACCAAAAAAATATATTCCAAATTTGAAGAAACATGGCAGGATTACCGAGGCTTATCACGTTGATGAGAAGCTCACGTTTCTTCCAATATGAAACAGAAGAAGGGGAATTGCACGCGACCGTGCGAAATACATCTGATACAATAATTAGTGAGAACAACTTCACCTTGTTTGAAGTGAAGAGTTCAAAAGTTCATCAGGGTATGGTCCACATCATAAGTCTCTACAATAACAGGTACTTGCGGCTCAACCCAACCGGAGCGTTTATTTCTGCCACTGCAGACGAGCTCGAGGAAGACCGTGCCGAACGGTCTTGCACTTTGTTCAGGTTTGTCATCTCCGGCAACAAAGTGCGCTTTTTCCACCAGTCCGATAATGTTGAGCGGAATGTGGTAGTTTATCAAGGTGGTATCCTCGGAGTCCAGGGTAGTGTTCTTTTACTTTACTTTGTATTTAGATTGTATCTCGGCTTTCCACTTATTTATTATTATTATTATTATTATTATTATTATTGTGAGCAATAATTAATGAGTTGTGGCATGCATGGATGAATGACACAAAAGCAGGTATCAACATTACATATAACTTGGAATTTACTGACATGACCAACTTTGTAATCTTGCCGAAGCACGTAATGTTCAAAGGGGATGATGGGAATTACTTAAGAGCACGTAAAAATAAAAATCTGGCGTTCGTTGCCAACGACCCCACGGATCCGAGAGTGCACCACATTGCAAGGCTTTCATCACCTCGTGTTGCTCGTTTTAGCCTACTGTCCCCCAGATTCAATCTGTACTGGCAGAGGATGAACGGTGATTGGCTCCAATGCAACTCCAGCGTACCGTTTGCGACGAACACGACCTTCCGTCCAGTGAGGCAGGGTTTTGGTGACCAGAACAGATCCATAGCTCTGTTGAATACGACTAACAACAGGTACTGTGAGAGATGGACCCAAGGGGGGAGCGCTGGTCGTCTTAGAGCTTCCTCCTCGGGCATTGTACGTACTGCGCTGCTGACAGTGGAGGAGGCAATCCGGGATCGAGAAATCTCTGACATCAGGTATCTATGCTACTCTCTCCGTTCCTCAATAACCTTAGATATTACCAGATCCAGGATTTGGGAATGGGGGTATGAAATGAAGTTCAATAAAAAAAAAAAATTACAAAATAATATGTCTATTGCAATAATTTTTTCCTAACTAAATTTTGAGTTAATAAATCATAAATTATTTTACTTTGTATTAGTATTTGCGTGTACGATACACCCCATCCTCCGACAATAAGTCTTATAATTGAGTAAATAAATATTTTTGTGGGCTAAAAAATAGATTATCTAAGAGACTTGTTATTTGTACTACATAATAGTACCTAAGAGACCACCTATTAGATACAGGGGTCTCTTTTCTTATTAGTTTTTTTTTTAAATTTTTTTTTTTTTGGCGGAATGGGGGTACAACTTTCACTTTGTACCCCCTAGATCCGCCTATTAGGTATCTTGACATCAATTGTTTTTATAGTTTTTATTAGGACTTTTTGTCAGAAACTACCTAATAATATCCAAATTTTGTGATAAACTACCTAATATTTTTTTTTTGTGAGAAACTACCTAATCAAGGTAAAATGTTGTAAAAAAACTACCTACGAAAAGGTAAAATATTATAAACTACTATCTATACCGGATTTCCATTGGTGATCGAACTCAAAACACTCTTGAAACCACCGCTTTCATTCTCAAAACTAACACAACTTGCTTGAAATCGGATCGTCTCCACCATGCCTAAACCACCTTCCAACCCCAAAACCACCATCCTGAAGCACTATTCTACCCCGAAAATAATCTTGCCACCTTGAAAACCATCCATCACGGTAGTTTCGGGGGGTATTTTGATGAGGTTGATCAACGTCGTGATTAGGCAGTTTTTTTACAAGATTTTTTTTTATTAGGTCAAAGGTAGTATCTTACAACACTTTACCTTTTATTTGGCAGTTTTTACAATATTTTTTTTATTAGGTAGTTTCTCACAAAATTTAGGTTTTATTAGGTAGTTTCTCACAAAAGCCCTTTTTATTAATATGTAACTAAATATAATAAAAGTCGAAGATGTGCAATGGAGAACAAGCAAAAAACAATTGAGAAATCTATTGATGAAAGGAATAAATAATAATCTGTCTTAATTCCTCAAATTTAACTCCAATAATGTTGTTAGTCTATTTTTACACATAATGATGTGTATTTATTTGGATTATATATGAGTCGAATTTCAGAATCTGATCTGGATCGAACTTTGTTGATCAACTAATAACAATGATCAAATTTAAAGCAAATCTTTGAACAATGAGTTTGCCCTAGTTACTCTCGGTGATAAATAATTTTTGTTTATCATATAACAATTTTGTAAATAAATTAAATCAACATCTCTATCAAATCACCATCAACTGTGGAGCTCACATTAAAGAAAAAATTGTCGATTTATTTATAAAAATGTCATGTGATAAATAGTTTTTATTTATCATCGAGAAAAAGTAATAGTACTTTCTCTCGAGCAATAGAAGTTTAGAATTTTAATTTCAATGGACTGATATTTTTTTAAAAAATACTAAAAGTATCATTTTATGAATATTTTATTTATTCCTTTTCTTATATATTTCCTCTATCGTTTGTTACTTACTTTAATTCTCATTTTACACTATTCACACTTTTTACTAACCATAATATATTTTATTTATGTTGCATCTACTTTTTCTCCCCCACATATCTACTTTTTCACATGGTATTTGGGACTACGTATCTATCTCGCACAAGTCTCAACCTATTTTATTTTCTGAAATTTCTTAAAATGAGAAGAATGAAAAGGATAAAATGTACAAAAGTTTTTCATTAAATATGCATAATTGCTTTTCAAACTGATAAAAATTTAAATTTTCTAGAAAATCAGAAAATGTGTATATTATGTTCAAAACTTGTGCACATCGAATTTGAGTCAAATTATTTATTTGCACATTTGGTTTAAAAAATATGCACATTCAGTACAAAAATTATGCACATAAAATCTTTTTCGTCTTTCTCATTTTAAGGAACTTCTCATATATATATATATATATATATATATATATATATATATATATATATATATATATATATATATATATATATATAGAATAAGAAATTTAGCTATGATACGTTCATTAATTATGATTATCATATTCATGCATTATTTTTTCCATACAATGACTTTTATATAAATTGAATAAGATAGAGTGGATGTCAACTACTTTAAATGATTTTGCCTGATGGAGGCATACCCAAGTTTTGGGATCGAATCATATCTACATCATATAGATGGATAGGTAGTTAAAAAAAAAAAAAAAAAAAAAAAAAAAAAAACCGCATCCCAAATAAAAGTGCTAAAAATGTTGGTACAGGTATCGTCTGGAGGATGCACGCATCTACAATATGATTCCTCTAGAGTCCAGAAGCCAAATTGTGTATAACTATGGCGATAATGAAGAGATACAAAAGGTGTCATTCACCTACAGCGAGGTGATAGAGGAGAAGTTCAGCTCGTCACATTCGTGGAAACTGTCGGCCAAGGCTACCATCAGGGTTAGATTGATCCCAGTGATACTTCAGGGGAAACTGACTACAACTGCAAGCTACGGAGGTAATTTCCCTTTTTAATTTGGGAATTGTCTGACCATTTACTTAGAGGGAGCCCCAATTCCTCATCATGAAGAACGCTTTTGTTCCTCATAATGAAATTTTGGAAAATAATGTGATGTTTTTCACTAGTAAGACCGCCTGTTAAATTTGAGTGGACCTCTCTGCTTTTGACACATAATCCATGAGGAACAAAACTTGTACCTCACATTGAGGAACAGGGAATTACTCATTTACTTTGATCCACATAGTAATAATTTCATCAAAACGTACGACAGGTAGTGTTGAATGGTCCCAAAAGAAAACAATTGAGAGAACAGTGACTGGCTCCACAACCGCTACAGTACCAGCAAGGAAAGCTAGAAGGGTGACCTTGATAGTTGGACAGGGTTTCATGGACGTCCCTTACTCTTACAGACAAAGGGACATCCTTATGGATGGAACCTTCGAGGAAAAGACTATGCACGATGGCCTTTTCTCGGGTCTCAACACATTTGAATTACAGTATATTCTCGGTGAAGCTGAAGACCTTCCTCGTAGTGCTAGGCCGCCAATAGGCCATGGTGACATTGTCATCGTGCCAGGTGAGACCAAGGTCCTCTCTACAATGGCCATCTCGCGTGAAGTCGATGTGGAAGGAAAAGAGGATCCGGAACTAGCTCCAATGGAAGATCAACAAGATCCCCTGCCAAGGCCCTCCAAGCTTTAGTTACTTGCATACACTAGGTCGGTGTTCTATTAATAATGTGTGTTTTCCTATAACACACGTATTGTTTTTGTTATTATGGTTGTACTTTGCTTGTTTTGAGGGTGCATTGTCATTCAATAATTCTACTCCTTTTGTTTAATTTTCTTGTTTCATATCCAACTCTGTATGTTATGTTATTTCCTTTGTTTCTTTCTTACCCCTTTTCATATTAATTAAGTTCCAATAAAGTATGTTTTTTCTCCACTTTCCTTTCTTTGATTTCTAAATTTTAAATTCTTTATTTGATTATTTATATTTGTATAGAGATTAGAGAGCCATAAAGTCTTGGACTCTTGGATACCATGTTGGTTTCAATAACTGTGTTATGTCACACTTTTATATACTCCGTATGTGTAGCTTTTACTGATTTTGCTAGAGATGGGAAGTAAGATTCGTAGCTCTTAAAAAAATAGAGATAAAGAAATAAGATTCGTACTCGGCTGGCCCATTAAATAATCGAGGTCCATACTCGGCCAGGTTCCTGCAAGGCTACAACAATCTAATATTATATCATATTATCATATATCACTAATATATAAAGCCGATTTCGCAGTCAGGGCACGAAACAACGATACTTGATATTCTAATTTTCGTCAAGCGTCGTGTCACGTAGGCGACAAATAGGTATTATTGTGACATATATGATGCTAAGTAAGCAATTTTTGGATAGATTTTTTTAAGATAAAATTGTTGTATAGAGTTTTATTATCACTATACTTCTAATATTTTATATATACAAAATTAATCATAACTTTTAATAAATACCGTATAACTCGATTTTACGGTCTCGCAGTCAGGACACGAAACAACGACACTTGGCATTCCAGTTTTTCGTCAAGTGTCGTGCCACGTAAGTGACAAATAGGTATTAGTGTGACACATATGATGCTAAGTAAGCAATTCTTGGATAGATTTTTTTAAGATAAAATTGTTGTACAAAGTTTTATTATCACTATACTTCTAATATTTCATATATACAAAATTAATCATAACTTTTAATAAATATCATATAACTTGATTTTATTTCCATTATAAAATTCGTTTCAAAAAGTTCTTTAAAATAAGATCCATTTATAATGTATTTAATTTAGTTACAAAAATATTAGGGAATCAGTAAAAATAAGTTTTAATCAGTAAAATTAATTTTAATTTGGTAAAAATACTTCCAGTTCAGTAAAAATAATTTAAGTTCAATAAGAATAATTTCAAGTCAATAACATAGGTATCTATTTACAAACAAAATTACAATAAAGTATTATTATATAAATATAAGACATATGATATAATATGTTTAAATATCCTACATTATCAGAACGAATTATTTGAACGTATTTAACATTAAAGTAAAAATAGTATCTTAAAATTTTATCAACCATCTGGGCATTGTTCGGGCACAAAACTAGTACACATATAAAGGGGAGTTTTTTTCCGAGTTTTTAGAGAGTCACGTAAGATTTAATTTTCTTAGCGCGCCATGTAAGATTATAAATTTTAGTTGTAGCCAATTAAATAAGAGATTATTAATTTCTTTTAGAATTACATACAAGTACTCTGTATAAGCTACAATTTATTTTTATTTTTTTTTCCTCTCTTTTGAAAAGGTAAGAAGAAATAAACATTAGGAAGCGTATAAGCTACAAGTGGTCCATGCTCCGCAAAAGTCCGTATAAGGCTACATTTATTACAAATGTTTACTGTAGGCACGTTTTAAATGCATCACTAGTGTATGGTTTGGGTATTGCACCGAGTTGCTACTTTAAAACATAATGTTAGTAAAAAAAAAAATAAAAAAAAAAAAATAAAAAAAAAAAATAAAGAGGATTTAGATAGAATAATCTTTTATTGTCTTGAAATTGTTAATGCTATTCTCTTTATTCATTTTTTATAGGCTACATACATAATTATTCTTTTATCTGTTGTTGTGCTTTTTTAAAGATATATTTATTTATAAAAAGAATATAAATTACTATGGGCTAAGATGGTAAGTAGTGTGATCTTATATTCATAAACTGTTGCATCCACCATACAGGTTGTCACTACTTTCACTTCTAAGAAGTAATCTGCTTGTGTATTCACGTTTTAAAACAAACTAGTGTGTGACTCGGACTTTGCTCCGGGTGGTACTTTAAATAATTTCATTTTTATATAGATGCTTTACAAGACTTATTAATTTTTTTAACGCGGCAAATTATTAGAATATGATGACAACAATAATTCATTTTGGATTTTTTTTGCTTTTATTGTACATTATAATACTTGTATGTATTTATATATAAATATGGATTAATAGAGCATAATTATATTCTAGCTAAGATAATAATACAAGTGGTTTTCATTTAATGAGGTTTGGAGTTCAATAAAGATGGATCTAGGAACTTTGTATAGGGAGGGTCGTATAAACTACGAAGTATAAGAATTATTGATCTAAAAAAAACACAAAAAAATTGAAAGTAGTGGCATTTGAACCCCTTACGTAGGGGCTCGAGGAAGGGTATTATGACGTACTAACTACTACTCCCTCCGTCCCTTAATTTTTGCCCCATTGCAAAAATATGGGTTAAATTTTTAAAACTTTGACTATGAATTCTCGTTAATCTATAAGTGATAATATATTCATGTGGGATCTTGTTAGAATCATCTCATTGTATAGTTAATTAATATCAAATTATTATAATTTTTACGCGTATCAAAATGAAAATATATGCGTTTGAAAACGCGTTTTAAAGACCGTGAAAAGTCAAATGGGGAAAAAAATATAAGGAACAGAGGGAATAGAAACCAACTCATCTAACTATCTTTTACAAATATATCAATTTTATCTATAAAACTACTACAAAAATCTGGGCATGGGGTGGGCCATGGCCTAGGCAGGCCCGCCCCTAAATTCGTCCTTGGGTTTCAAATCTCTTACTAAGCATTGTTAATTTAGATCATTGAATGATGATGTGGCATGATGCTAAAGGTTGTAGAATAATGATGTTGCATGATACTGGGGTAAGAAAGGATACACATGGCCAGATAGATTTTGTCTAAAAAGTTAATGTACATTCTTTAGAAGATTTCAGCCAGGTTCCTCTTACAAATAGCTTAATAAGCATAATCTCATTACTATAAGCACAAGTATAGATAAAAAAAAGAAAAAAAAATTAATAAAATAAAATAAAAAAAGAAAAAAGAAAGAAAGCTATCATCCATGGTTTTGGATATGCAAAACTTACACCTAAAGAATCAGCAGATAGACAGTGTTAATCACTTGGCCTTAGCAACACGTTCTATAAGCACAAAGAGTCGAAAGACTTGTTTAGTGTTTGCATCCCTACTCCAAGCTCGTCCTTGATGATCCACATAATTCACAATATAAGATGTTAAGAGGCAACTGTTTGGTCTGTGATTGAGGACTTCAAGATTTAGGTATTAACACTGGAAGTTTTCATGCAGTTCGCGGTCACCTGTTTATAAATATAAGTACAATGTCTTCAGAGTGACATTCGAAATTTCAAGCAACAATGGATGATCTGAAACACAAACTGCATTACTTAAAAACATACAATAAAAAAAAAAAAAAAAGATCTGTTTGGGTCCAATTTAGTCAAAATTGGGCCTGAGCACTAAATGATCCAATTAAAAGCCCAAGGTCAAGGTTCAACTCTCCAATTGCTCAAAAGTCAAAAGTCAGCCCACAAAGTAAGCCAGTTGGGCTAAAGCCCAACCTCTCCAAGTATGATGAGGTATAAAAGCCCTCATATTAACACATTCAAAGGAGATCGGACAGAGAACACATACATTATCACATACATTATCTCATACACCGATTATTCCAATTTCATATGCTCATTCTTGCATTGAGAAATACTCCACAAAAGCCTCAAGCTACAAACTCTCTTGCATAGTGTCTTCCTTTTTACACATTGTACTGACTTTAGCATCGGAGGGGCCTTCCTCGGAAACACCCCCGAGGCTAGTTTACGTGTGTTCACTGTGCAGGAAACCTTCGGCCCAACACAGCTTGGATCGAATCCAGTCTTCTCCATTTCAGTGGACCTTCGGCAAGGTCCCATTGTTTTCAACCGAAACAATTTGGCGCCGTCTGTGGGGAAGACTTTCAAAAATCTTTAAGCCAAATTCCTAACCAAGATCATCTTGCAATTATCTTAGCAGCCATGGCTAAGAACCGCAAGAGCAAAAGCCTCCGTCAAGGAGCGGGCGAAAAGCCTAAAACCCCTACACCATCGCCCACGCCGGACCGGAACTCTCCCAAGGGTGCCGGCTCGGGGGGAGGATCACACAAGGAGGATTCCCTATCTCCTATAATGCATGACTCCCAATATAGGCCGGACCACTCTCGGTCTAGCAGGGGTCAGTCTGATCATAGGACATATTCGGTGTCCCGAAGCCAACCATCGGCTGCACGGCCTCATGCCCACACTCGGCCGGGGACCCCTTTGACGGGGCCCAGTTCGGAAGAGGTGGCAAGAGCGCTGGCAGTACTCATGGAGGCAATGAGGGCACAGAATATGCCACCGCCTCGTGATCGAACTCCTCCGCATACCCGGCATCAGCGGAGGAAGTTAGACCATGACGGTGGGAAGCTTCCTTCCTTCCGGGAACTGGAAGAGTGGGAGGAGGATTCTTGGAAAAATGAAAAACAGAGGAAGAAGAACTCTCAATTATTTAAAGGATCCTCATCCTCAAGACCAGCAGCGCATAAGAGCAGCAGCTCAGCTTCTCGGCCAGAATCTACTCGCCGGGAACCTGAGACTGCTTGCAGAGGCGTCCTTGACCGACTCGGCGGCCAGGAACCGAGCGTGCGTAGTCGCCTCACGTTCCCTGCAGCCGAGGCCCAGACTTCCCAGCCAGGGACGAAAACCACTCCTACCTCTCTAAGAGGGCGGAGCGCGGTCCCTTCGGCCAGGAACAAGGGCAAGGCCATTATGCTTCCCGCCAGTTCACCATTCGAGCAATGGATACTGGAAGAGCGCGTACCCACGGTTAAAATACCGTCGCATATCACATATGACGGGACCACGGATCCGAAGGACCACGTGGCCTCGTATGAGACTCATATGCATCTTTGCCCTAGATCCGAGGCGACTTGGTGCAAATATTTCCCAACCACTCTCAAGGGGGTCGCGCAAGCGTGGATCTCCAAGGGAGTAAGGCAAGGCTCCATAACAGGTTGGGATGATCTGTCCTCCAAGTTCAGG